AGAGAGAGAGAGAGAGTTGTGCTTTAAAAGAAAAAACCATAACAACAAAATCTGGAGAACAATATCCAAAAGCATAACATATTTTCCACGTCAATACTACTGACAAGTGCATGAAGGTCACAAGTTCTTACTCCAGATTTAATATTGTTTTGATCAATGCAAGTTCAGATACAGAAAATATTTATAAGCTATTTTAATACTTCCTAGTTAAAAACTTAACATCCACTCTCTTCAATTGTTTGGCATGCAAAGTCTTTATCACTTTGTTGTTTCCCCCCCGCCCTGTAATTTTTTCCACCCGATTTAACCGCCCTAGGGTTGCCGGTAGATGTTGCCATGTTGCGGTTCACGAGCTATTTGCGCGCTGAAAAAAATTGCTCATCTCCTAATGTTCAGAAAACAGAACATTAGATAAAGATAATAAATAACAAGCGCGGCTGAAATCTACTAATGAAAAGGAAAACCATCTTCACTGTCGGTCCGCAGCAAAATTTCTACTTTCCGCCTAAAACGGGAATATGAATCGAAATGTTTCGAATAAGAAATATCATAGTGTATTGCTTTCGCTAAAGATTTTTTTCAACGCGCATTGACAGTCAAAGATGAACAAGAGGAAATGCAGTACAGCATCACCAAAGCTGGGCAGAGGAACTTCAAATCTGAAATTATAAGGCTTTTAAAAAAATACCAGCAGCGAGCCGAGCCGAGCCGAGCCGGCAAGGTCGAAGGCCGGTAAACGCGCGCTTTCAGGTTGTGAACGTAAATCTTACCAATTCTGCCCAAAAACTTCATAGGAAAACAAGAACACCTTTCATTTGACCTTACCTTGGTTTTTAACTTGCCACACAAAGATTATCCGCTCAAGCCAATTTCTTATTTCTATCCCGTTTGGAGAAATCACCACTCCACTTTCCGCCATGAAAGTGTTAGCAGTCAAGCGGACAGTTCGTATTTATATCCCGGTGTAGATCACGTGTTGTTTCGTCACAAAACTGGTTTTTCCTGTTTCTATGGGAAACTACATAAAAGGAAATCGCGCGATGTGTGGAACCACTGTCACGTGCACAGGTTATTTGCATAATGTAACGCAATCTCTTCCTCTTGGAAAAATACTAAGAAATATGGAAGCGGAGTTGAAGCAGGGTTGTGCCCCGGTGTATCGTTACACTAAGGGAATAATCATTGTACTGCCTTTCTTCACGAGCCTTTGTTTAGCTGTTCTATATTGTTAGGTCTTTAGTATCGGCTCTTCTACACCGCGCCGGCCGATACCACGGGGCCGGTACGCGAGGACACATACCGAAGCAGCCGGATGTCGATTTATTCTTTTGAAAAGCGGCCGCTTGGCTTCCAACCAAAAATAACTTTTTTGACACAGAATTCACGTATTCAATGATACATTTTCTTTTATTACCAGCATTACCGCCAATCTTCCTTCCATCTGTGTCCCACCACACTTTTATAAATCTTCTGGCGTCAGTTACGTAACACATCACGTGTCTAAGAAGAGGTCGGGCGGGTTACTTCAATTTTGCCAGACTAACGCTTAGCTTGGTCAGCTTGGCCTTGAGAAAATTCGTTAGAGCCTGCACTTTCCGCGTGAGTTGTTTTTTAAAAATTATTTAATTTCAGTTTTCTTTCTTGCAGGCATCACATCCGCCTCAGAAAAGAGAGTGAGCGGCACTTGCCAGCCTGCCTGTCATGACTCTTTGACACGTACGTAGGAGCCAGGGTCCGAGAGGGTTGTTTTGCGTGATCAGAGTGTGATCTGTGCAAATATGGCAAAACGAAAATACCGCTTTACGTGGGCCAAAAATAGAAAAAGAATTCAGCGAGGCTGATGCTCAAGAGACCAACAAACTTTGGGCTCTATTCTGTGGTATCAAATCGGAGTTTACCGTCAACACTACTCGGGAGGAATTTGAAAAGGGGTCTGAAAACGCAGCTTTATTTCTACGGTTAGGCCTTCCGTCCACACTAATCCAGACCGAGAACGGTACCTTTACGAAAACGCTCCTCAAACAGGAGGAATTTGAAAACGCCGGCTGTTTTAGTAGACGGAAAACGATTTGAAAATGGAGCTTTTCGAACACGATGGTGTTACGTAATCATATGATTTCCCTCTCCGAGTTTTTCTCAAACACAGCCGGATCCATAATGGCCGGTGATATTTGCGTTTTCATATTTCTCCGGCGTAGTAGTGTCGACGGGGACTAAGGCAATCCTTTAATCTGTGAATGGCGGAGCCGCTCGCTTTAACCAGCGCGGAAAACGGCACTCTGTTTGGACCGCCGGGTCGGCTGTATATTTACGGTAGCCGAAAGAGGAAAGAAAACCAGGGTCAAAGTGAACTGACGTCAATGATTTCAAGAGACACTTTGAGACTGCATTTAATGACGGAGCCTTGCATTTCTTGCATGTATTACCATTTCTTTGACCCTAAAGAAACCAATTCCTTGTACCACTCGGTACCACCAATCCTTTGAAAAGAAATAAACCCTTACTTGAGTCGCTGAAATTTTAAGAACACGATTAGCATACGACCAAAACAAGAGTTGTCGTTGTTCCGCGAACAATCGTAATTTGAGAAAGGAATTAGCATAGTTGACAAAGCTGATGAGTGGTTACGCAGGCTAGACCTGTTTAGCTTGGGCGGTTTGTTTTCCCATTACAGACCGCGTGATATTAAATTCTCCAGAGAACTGTTCTTTTGCCCATCTAAAAATTATTCATTCATATACACTCGACTATTTGGCAATTTAAATTCTCAAGAGTTTCATCACAGGGTCTGAAATGGGGCAACAAATCAACCGTCCACGCGAAAAAGCTCTATTTGACCGACCTCATTGGTTGATATTAAGGCAGTAATATGATCGTTTGATGAGTTGCTTGTAATATTGACCTGTAGCTCATCTGGTATTCAAGGGTTAATATTTTCTATCCTCGTTCCATCGTGGGATCGAAAGTACACAAAGTGGGCGCCAGCTGGACAACTGAACACCTTTATTCAAAGCTACAAAAACAAAGATCTTTACAAAGAAAATTCCACTCGGTATCAAGAAAAACCACTCTGCGGATTATCGACAAAGCTTTTCTTTATCACTAGAACAGTTAACAAAACGAAATGTCTTGTAGCGAATAAAAATAGACAACTTAGGCTACAAGTTTTGATCATTCCATCATGAACCGAACTGAAGTGTTACATTTGAGACGCTATCACTGTGTGTGTGTCAGGGCCCCTGCTCCGGCGCCAAATCCGTAACCTTTAGGACCAAAATTCTTGCCATGACATCCTTTGCAGTAGATTTCGCCTGTTGAGGATCGAAATACCGTTATCGATGTGGATTCGCTTAAGACGGGGTAACTGGCATAAAAATAGACACTTTTTCAGACAAGTGTAACTTCATAACTATAGTTCAGAATCATATAATTAAACTTACCTTCGTGGCCGGACCAGGTTGTGCTGTCTAATCTCTTGTTGCAATCCTTACAGTTGCAGCACGATTTGTGCCACTTAGCTCCCGCGCCAATGACTTCTTCAATTCGGCCATGTACACTGTTTTTTCACATCGTGGACACTTTGAAGGCATTTTAATCTAGGCGGCAGATGAAAAAGCAAACAGGCATTAAAAAGTGTCCTACAATGAGACGAAATGCTGTGTTCTCAATTGCTCGCAAAACCGTTTATCACGGTCGCCGGAGACGCCAGGCGTTTCACCAGCATTTTGTAGCCTGCGAACAGGCTCTCGGCGAGGACGGAAAAAATCGGCGAACAAAGGGAGCCGAAGAGTGCAAAAGTAAAGAATTCGAAAGGCGAATTCGTTCGCGCTCGCAGGAAGCCTCTTCGAAGGCTAGCATCATGTTTCCTTTTCAGGAACTTTTTAACAGTGTGCAGTTCGGATGACATATGTCGAATGTTCCAAATAGTTATTCTTGAATAGTGCAGCTTTATCGTTCTCTATTCTTGCGCAACTACTGTAGTTCACGGCATAGTTACTTTAAGAAAAAACCTAACTTTGACAACGGCTATCATGCATTGAAAGCGAACCTTCATTGAATTTCTTTGGTTATGCAAAATGAACACCTAACAGTACATAAGCATTGTCACGATGAGATCCCCTGTTAGCTATCGAAGCCAATACATCAGTGCTAGCACTGTGGTCAACAAAGTTTCATTTTCTTAACTAATAAGACTTGCCTTCAGTTCAGGGAGTGATCAGAACCACTGTAAAACCGAGCTGATCAACTAACTGGCTTGAAACGACTTAATAACAGTTCAGTGCTAATTAGCTTGGTATGTTGATTAATAAACTCTACTTTCTGAATATAACAAGGGTCGCATTAATTTTGGAAGACAAATACCTGATTAGAAGAAAGTTCTTCTTTGTGAATGACAATAGCAGAACCACCATGGTCCCAGAGGTTTCCCTTCTTCTAAGTGATTCTTTCAAGTTATCAAACGAGCCTAAGAGTGTGTGCGCAAGAGTGGAAACAACCATTAGAAGCAAGTAAAAGCTCTGATCGAATCTCATGAAAATATAAGCGGAACTGAAATTCGACGAGAAGGCAAATTAAACTAAGGTGGTTCGTAGGTTCGATCATTCTTCCCCGGCCCCAGAGCGCGAATAGCTCTGGGGGACCCCGCAAAATAGTTTAATCGTTTCCTTTGAAACAATTAAAGCGCTTCTTGATCCATGCAGTCCTTAAACGGAATGCGTTGAGGACGAACTCAGCTATTTGTTCCACACGATCATGGCAATGCTAAAATTTTAGAATTTCGTGTGAAAATGCGGAGGCTTGAGAAAACATGTCGACGAATTTTAAAGCAGGCATTTTTGAAAATTAGTTGAATTTGTGAACATCAATTCATAATGTAGACAAAAAGGGTGAACAATGCATGCTGCTCCAAAAGGCAGTCCATTGTAAAAATCCAGCAGCACTTACTTTGTCTTGGACAAAGCATGCGCTGTGTGGCCAGCATAGCCAGAATTTGGCAACGTTCGCTCATAGTTCCCCTGAGTTTCATGACTAACTCAGTCCAGAAAGCGGAGGTCTGGGGTCGAGAATGACGCTTGACTAGTCGAGAAAGGGGTCCGCGCCCCTCCCGCTTCTCGAAGAGGAACATAGCGCAGCGGAAATTGAGCCTAGGTGGTCCGCAAGGAATCTTGTTTTCCAGCTCGACCCGGCAGCTTCAAATGAAAAACCCTAATACCCCGGAACTTCCCGATTTGTTCTGCTTGAAAAAGGAAAAAATTGTTTCAGTTAAATTTAATCTTGGCTTGGATTGTCAGGCTAAGCAATTTTAAGTATATATATACATAGCAACATCAATTAGCTTTATTTGCATGACCATAAATACATACAGTGTTGCAAAAGCTTTTGTAAACCGCTAAAATAAAACAGTAATGATTATCGTGAACATGTAATAAGGTTATGATATAGCAGTCAAGTTACATCTGCTTGATTTGAAAGAAGAATATTGCGTAGATCAACGCAAAATTAAATGAATTTTGCTAATTGAATATTAACATAATGATTTGTAGAAGTCATAAGTTCGCCGCCGATGGCTTGTAACGGAGATAACGGTATTTTCTATACATCTCATGGAATAGAGTATTTAATGCAATACATAAAAAGCGAGATGAGTGTTCAATTTGATTAAGCTTTCACACGAATGCTACAACTTCAAAATTGGCTAAGAACAGATTAAAAACGTTTCCTCACAGAGTAATATCAATGTAGTAAATGTAAAGGTTACTAACGAATTACCGATAAAAAATGCACTACAGCTGCGCTAAGTTAACTTGTAAGAGTCTGTAAAATATTTAATACGCGTGCAGTTTAGTTGTTCAAGCTGTCACAATCATCATCGTCATGGTTATCATCATCATCATCATCATCATTATCACCACCATTTTGATCATTGTTCATCATCGTCACCATCGATTATCATTGTCGCGCGTAGTATAAGGGCCAGGTAATACCGTCAATATTTTTCAAGTTCTTGTAACTTGTGGCAACTGGTTGCCATACAAGCTAAGCATCATTGTACCTGTTACTACTTGTATTGCAAGTTGTAGCAACATGTTGTGCGAAAGCGTGTCAGCATGTTGCCACAACTTACAATCGTTGATCATACAGGCACAGGAGGCTCTGACACGCAACAACACTTTACAACTTTGTAAGGCAATGATGATATGAGGTGTCGGAATGAAACAGAAAAAAATTTAATCTTGGGGTCCCTTACTAGGTTTCTTACACTTTCGATGTGTTCCACAAATTTTCTTGATGTCACAGTTGTCCTTGATATGGGAATAGTAGGACAGAAACCGCTGTACACTGCAGTTCAAATTTCCACCGCAAGCTGGTATTGGAACAGCGGCTTCATTCACTAGGAGTTGAACCCTCATCTCAGATGCATGAAGTGCACCCTCTATCGAATTTTCGCCCGTCTCGGTGCCCATTCCTCGACACTTCCCTTTACAATTAATCTTTTCTTCAACATCTCCCTTACGTGCGTTTTTCACTTTAGCGCCGTCACGTTTGCACTTGTACAGCACAAGTGCAACATTAGCAGACATGGGGATCACATCTGAAACACGAAATGTTCGGTTGGCTTGTTGGTTGAAATTATCCGCTCGAGGAGGCACAGAGTCGTTATAGAGTCCTAGCATGGTCAAAAGAGGAATGACTGTTCCCGTATGTGCAAATCGAAAGATACTGTGAGGCTTTCCTTGTTTCAGAAAACTCTCAAAGGTGTCTGTTATTTCCACGTAAAGTGGACACGCCATTTTGTAGTTGATTTTACGACCATAGCTTCGCTCCCAGTAAAGCTTTAAGTCGCTCAGATATTCCAAAACTTTGAAATCTGCTTCTTCAAACACAGCACACCAGCTGGAGTCTGCGCTATCAGTCTGAATGCCAAATGCACACATCAAAAACATTTCCAGGACCATGTCAGGACGAAGAGTTATTTTCTTAGTCAATCCCAGCCTCTTGGCGATGTTGCGGGCAACTCTACGCATTTCTGGGCCATTCAGAAATTTTCGATACTCCGAGTTTCTCTTTGCTGTAATCTTCTGCCATTTCGGACACGCTTCAAAAATTCGTAAGACTGCATCATCATCGTAAGAACCCGAAGACTTCACCGCCACTGGCCGAAATTTCGCCAGTCCTAAGTGTCCCGTCCCCTCGAACAGACCTTGAGCAAACGCTATCGCGCTCTGACTTGATCTCAGCTTGTCCGTGGCAACGAAACTGTAATTGGTATTAGAGTAACCATGTTTTAAGACGCCGGGAAATCTTGTAAGGAAACGCTTTGCTATGGAATACATCTCCTCCGAACCAAGCGCTGACATCTCTTTGCTAGCCGAGTTCAGTATGTCGGCTGGTATGCTCCACGGAAGCGAAAGGCCATTGTAGCGAAATGTTGAATTACTCGGAAAGAAACTATTTATCTTTTCAAGCAATTCTTTCATCTTTTTGACGCGATGGCTTCCAGGATATCGTGATCCGTGGCGTATCACCATATTGATATGCACTGGTTCGCATCCAGACGGTTTCTCGATGGCGATGTCTCTACTGGTGAAATGATACGGAGTCTTGTCGCTAAACATGTCTGTTTTAAGCGGTGTTTTTGATGCCAAGCCACGATCTGAACAGAAAACAAATAACGATATTAAAATCGGGACTAACACGAGAACAGTCAGCGAGGTTGCCATCTTTGCAGCTCAGTAATCAGATACTGTGACACCTATTCCGTGCGCTTAGAGCTCGCGAAGATCAAATTGAAAACTCATGCACGAAAAAGGCCGGTCCATCCCGGCCTTCCCCGACTTACCTACCCTTCTTCGCGACAACTTTCTCACCCTCCCTTTGGTAACTTTGGATCCCCCACTGAGGCGCAATTTAAATAGTCTTGGGTACCCGAGACAGTCCTTCCCCTGAGGCAACTTTTTCGAGCTTGTTATATAAACGTTGTCTCTGAGGGCCGAGACAAAGTTGACTCTGCATGATCATTCATAACCTTTGTTAAACAATCAAACGTGCAAATATCCCTCTTTCTTTGAGTTTCCTTCTCTCAATCGATCTCAGTGGGTTTTGCCGAGTTAATTTTCTCTTCTTTAATTCTCAACTTTAATTCTTAATTTTCTCTTCTTCGTCTTCAATCCTAAATCTAGGCATAACGTGACGCTCGTCACGCCAAGATTTGTCCCAGTTAGGCTAGCGAAAGTGTTTATGTGAAGAAAAGTTGTCCCGCCTGGCCTGCCAGGGTTACCCTACATGCCGGCGGAGGCGAGACAACTCGCTCACCCAAGTTGTCTCGCTCTCGAGACGGGCTCGCGATCCTCAGTTAATAGTTGGTTGAATTTTGCAAAGAGATAAGTGAGAAGTTAGCTCGGCCAGGGTAACTCGGGGGAAGGGTTGTCTCGGGTACCCATATAAACGGGCCCACCGCTCCCCTCCACAGGAAGAAATGGTAAAAAATCAGCGGCAATTCAAAACTGCAAAAGACTGGCATCAAATCTTGTGACGTCATCGTCTTCCATCGTCTGGAAAGCGAAAATGGCGGCAGGAGGTTCAAGTGGACACTCCGAAACAGTCATGGAAGTAGAAAGCGATTTTGCAAAGTATGGAGAAGATATTTCACCGGCAAAAGATGGCGGAGTGCGAAAACTCATTGAAGTGGAAGGGCATGGTGGAGAAAAGCCGCCGATCGGAAGCAAAGTAAGGGTTTATTATTCCGGCAAGCTCATGACTGGAGAGGAGTTTGACTCGAATGTCGGCAAAAGGGAGCCTTTTGAATTTGAACATGGAAAAGGTAAGCTGACATGCTGCTGCCTTCACAAGGAGACGCAAAGCTGACCGGTAGATCGAGAAACGTGATGTTTTTCTGATCGCTGCGATGTTTACAAGATTTTTTTGACAATAGTGTTTCTTCTTCCAGTCAAATTAGTCAGCTAAATTAGCACAGCATGTCATTCTCTCATTGAACTTCGATTTTAAGGTTACATTAATATCGAAAACTGAGCTTTTAAATTGCGTCGATTCTGTTGACATTTTTTAGAGTTCAGTGTACAAGATTACAAATGATTTGCATTAATTTTCATCTTTTGAAATTGACAACTATTGACAACAATGCAAGTAATAGAGGCAGACACTACGAAAAATCTAAAATTCTAGAAAATCACAACTAGAAATCGCATAGAATACATTGTCAAGTCCCAACCGGAGTGACAGTTTTGAAAAAAAAAAGGTTTATTTCTCATTCTTCTCTTCAGAAGTAGATTTTCACAGTTGTCCAAATTTCTGGAACAGACGTTTATCCCCACAACTTGCATATTGGATTAAAACTGCTTTGAATTAACAGTACCAAGGCCTGGTTCTCACTAGCTTAGAAGCATAAGCATAAGCTTCACACACAGACACAGTAAAGTCCTGCTTAGAACTGCCTTTAGTTTGGGAATTAATTGTTACGGTTTACGGTCATTGCGCTCCATGGTTGGATTGCTCCAAGTTCAGTCCAACCAGAAGTCAGAGCGTTCCTTACAGGTTACCAAGTTTGGCTTGTCAATGGATGAAAGAACGAGGAATAATCTATATGCAGATTGGAGCGAACTGAATTGGGACAACTTGGAGCAATCTAACCATGGAGCGAAGTGTCCGGATACCATTACTAACATCTGACTGCATCTGTATGTATGTCTGCTTTATGCTTATGTGCTAACAAACCATCAGCCCACTGCACTTCCCGTGCTGCTGATGATTAAAGGAGTATAATTTTGTGTTTGACTTGTAGGCCTTGTTATTCAGGGATGGGACATGGCTGTTGCCACAATGACAGTTGGTGAGACCAGCCTCTTCACCATTAAGCCAGAATATGCTTATGGTCAAGAGGGAAGTGGAAACAAGATTCCGCCGAATGCCACTCTTCAGTTTAATATTACATTAGTTGAATGGAAGGGAGAAGATATTACCAGGGATGGACAAGTGACGAAGATTGTGCTGGAGAAAGGGGAGGGTTACGACTTTCCCAACACTGGTGCTCTTTGTGAAGGTCAGCCTACTAGATTTTCCTTTATCCCACAGGAGTTTGTGTGGGAGGCCCAGTGGTCTCATGGTCAGTGCGCTCGTCTCCAGATTGAGTAGGCTATGTTCAAGCCCTGGCTGGGGACTTTGTGTTATGCTCTTGGGCAAGACTCTTTACTCTCACAGTGCTTCTCTCCACCCAGGTGTATAAATGGGTACTGGTGAACTTAATGCTGGGGGTAACCCTGTGATGGACTAGCATCCTAGCTAGGCAGGAGTAGAAATACTCCTAGTCGCTTTATGCTACAGAAACTGGGATAAGCACTGGCCTGATGGGTCACTTGGCGCATGTGCAGTCTTTACCTACAGGAGTTTAACAGTGAAGAACTGATTACAGTCACTGAAGAGGCATAAAAATTGCATTATCAATTGAAAGGAAGATGAGTAATTAAAATCTTCATGGCTAGTTTCTGGTGTTATGCAAATTATGCAAATTTTGGAAAATTTGAACTCGTACATGCCTATTGGATGAAGCCAAGCAGTAGAATGCAATCAAAATTCAAGGTTCGAATTGAATCATGGTGGAAATGTAGAAGCATTCTTTTCAAAAATGGAATCTCACAGAGTAGAAAAAAGTGAAATTCCCTTAATTCTTTTGTTACTTTGTTATTAGGAAGAAAACTTGACCACTTTTGACGGTAACCAGTGGATGACGGTAGTCATCTAGTAGGATCAAATTTGGATGCTTTTCTGACATTTCCTTAATTTGTGCTTTTCCTTTAGCTCACATTGTTGGCGAGTACAATGGCAAGGTGTTTGAAGATCGTGAGGTTTCTTTTCCTATGCGAGAAGGTAGGTCACAAGATGCCCTTGTACTGTATAATCTATCCAGGCTGCATCCTTGCTCTGCTTGTAGTGCGGGTTATCTTGAGTTCATTATTGATACAGTGAAACCTGTATTAAGCGGACCCCATATTAAGTGGACACCCTCAATTAACTGGACATCAGCTTGAGTCCCAAAATGTTCTTCTCACATTTACTGTAAAATAAACCTGCATTCAGCAGACACTTGTTAAGTGGACAAGGACGCTAATATTAAGCCATTTTGTTGCATAAAACCTGCAATAAGTGGACACTTCATGGGCTTTTACTTTTAAAAGCTCAACTCAGACTCCTTTAACATTGTTCAGCAATGTTGTTTTAAAGCTAAGTAGATTATTCCAGATTCATGCATTGACTGACTGGACATTGTGCCATGAGCAGTCTTTGATCTTACACTGTGTTGCACTGTGTAGCAAAAAGGTTAATAATTAACTATTATTACACAACATGTTAGAACCTGTTTAGAGTGGACACCCTCTTTGAGTGGACAGTAGTGATTGTCCCAAGGGTGTCTGCTTAATACGGGTTTCACTGTAATAATTTACTTTGCGTGCTTTTAGGTTCAGAGGCAGGGCTCCTGGCAGGTGTTGAGGAGGCCATGTTGAAGATGAATAAGGGTGAAAAAGCACACGTGTGGATTCATCCTGGAAAATGGGGATTTGGTGCTGCAGGAAAACCAGAGCTTGGCATTCCAGAAAATGCTGGTCTAGAATACATCATTCATCTGAAGACATTTGAAAATGTGAGTTAACATCAGTTATGATAAAATGTATTAGAAAATAGCCCAAAGAAAATATGCACGTTGATCGGTTTTAAAATCATTTCCCTAACTCAATGGAAACACAGAACTAGCACAAGCTGTTGAAGAAATGATGGCACAAGCAAAGAGAATTTACATTTTGATGAACAAAGTAAACAAATTTTCTTTTTTTGTTTAAAATGGCATGATTTTTTGGCTATTTATCGTATCATGGCCTCTAAATCTTAACGTACTGCAGAATCTGTATTCACTTTGCTTTCAAATGGCATAATTAACTTATAAATCTTTGAAGATGTAATGGAAAAAAAAATGATTTGCGTGAGTTAGTTAGCACTATGACTGGTTGGGAGATAAATGGATCGTGTTGCAATTCAATGGAAAGTAGAGTGAAATATGGCATGATTTTTTAACTGTTTAACATATCGTGGCCGGTAAATCACTACGTACTGCAGAATCTACATTCACCTAGCTTTTAAATGGCACATTTAACTTAGAAATCTGTGGTCCAAGATGTCGTAGAGAAAAAAAGATTACTTACATGAGTTGGTTAGCACTGGTGACTTGATCAGGCTGCGACCCGACAGGCCGGAAACATGGTACGAGTTATAAGTCAGTATTTTTAAAAAAAAACTCAAACAGACCTTGAAATAACTTAGTTTTGACAAATCTGCTTTCCCTTAGCTACAAAATAACAAATTACGTTAAAAATCCCCTTATTAAAACAAATATTTTAGCCGATGAGAAAAAGCAATTTTACATGTGTGCAGTTCATGCTACTGTCTCTTCGAACATACTCAGCCATAGCAGGTGTTACAGGTTACAGCCCTGTAGTCTGAATAAGAAATGTTACTTACAGTATTGTACATGTGTTATTAACAAAAATTAATTTTTTTTAACTTTTGAAGGCCAAAGAAAATTGGGAGCTAGGAAATGAGGAAAAAATCACAATGGCATCCTCACTGAAGGAAAAAGGAACAAAATACTTTAAGGTTAGTTATTTTTTTAAATCTGATGTTCACTTCAACATGCAATGAGATGACCAACTTTTGCACTTTAGTGATGTGCCTGTGTTATTTGGTCGCCGTGAAAGGGGACGCTACCATCTTTCCTGTAAAGGAAAGCGTTTAAAAAAGTGCTCTGCTCTTTTTCTCAGGAAGGGAAATTTGGCATAGCACTTCAACAATATGTCAGAGTGGTGAGACTGTTAGACGGGTACTTCAGCAATGAGGAGAAAGAAAAACGAGATCCCATCCTGTTAGCTGGCCATCTTAACCTGGCTGCCTGTCATCTGAAACTTCATAATAACTTCAAGTGCATTAAAGAGTGCGAAAAGGTAATCAGCCTTCCTCATTCTTAGTGAACTGTTTTCAACAGTGTGGTCTTTGTTTAAATTATCTCCTGGTTAACACAAATATTGGGAAGTTAAACTTATCCTGACAAATCCTTAGGCCCCATCTACACTACACCAGAGGAATTTGAAAACAGAGGTTTCTTTCAATCTCTTGTTAGGCCTTTGGTCCACACTAATCTGTCATGAAAATGGAGCTTTTCGAAAATGCTCTTCCAACTGGAAGAATTTGGAAATGCCGGCTTTGTGCTTTAGTGTGGGTCGAAAACATTTTGAAAATGGAGCTTTTCAAAAAACTGTGATGTTTCGATAATCATGACATTTCCCAGCTTGAGTTTCACTCAAACACAAATCCAAAATGACTGGTGATTGTTGTGTTTTCAAATTTCTTGTACTTAGTGTGGATGGAAAAGTTTTAATGTGTTTTCAGAGTGAAACCTCCATTTTCAAATTCCTCTTGGGTAGTGTTGATGAGGCTTTAGTGTGATTGGAAGATAAAGGAATTGGTTGGGTCAGAGTGACTCATACAAAGCTGCCCCAGTTTTTCTAGCATGAAGGAACTGCCAATTGCCAACTGAGTTCCATCCCTTCTAAAGGCTACAGATATACCTTTGGTGTATAACATTTGTGTTCAAATCTCAAGAGGTATGGAATGATTATTAGGGTTGTAGCCAGACAAAAATGATGACTGAGTCATTGTTAATTGTTCAGTTAATTTATTTGCTAGCAGAGTTTTACTTTCACCCTTAAAAATCACAACTTCATTCCAAGAGTCTATCATCTTTAGGCCCTCCCAGAGCGAGAGAGGGTCTGGTCATGTGTGATAGGGTTAGGTCTGGTCACGTTTCTCCCAGAATCTGGGAGATTACAATTAAATTATCGAAGGGAGGAGTGGACCAGGAAGGAATTTCGTCTGTTCTGAGCCTACAGGAGTGCAGGATGTGTTGTCACCAAAATAAACCAGGAACCATAGGTTGTTCTGCAGCAATATCCAGCGGTAATATTGTGCAAACACCAAAGAAAACTTATTAATCATCTGATAGTGGAAATCCAAGTTGCTGTAGGTTGTGTGGTTCAGTTAAGGACATTACACTTTGTAAAAATCTCCTCAAGAAGGCAAATGAAGAATTATTGCTCGACATGGCCAAGGTTGTGTGTTGAAGATCTTTAGTTTACCTATGTAGGCCTTGTGAATGGCAATGAAATAATTGTAGTGCATTCAGAGCTATGATCACTGAAAGCCAAAGTCACTTCGGAAGGAACAAATGAATGAAAAGATATATTGAAGTGTCACTGTCAGTGACGCATTTTGCCTGTTACTAGCTATGGCCCTGATTATATGGTGAGAGGTGTTTTTATTGTCAGGCGAGTCAAGATACTTTGAAGGGTGGGCTGGGGCTATAAATAAGCCCATCACAAGGCATTTGTTCTGAAATGGTACAATTTCTTTGTCCTCTTGCCTTTGCAGGCTCTTGAAATTGACAAGGAAAATGTTAAGGCCATGTTCAGACGAGGAATGGTATGTTCTTGTAGTAATTATAGTGAGATCACTTGAATCATGAACAGTGACATCTTTTGTACATTTTTGTAAGTGACTACAGGGGTTTCATGAACGTTTTCAGCTGGAGGTCAACTGGTTTTTACAGGCAGGCAAAATGTTTTGACGTGAACTTCTCTACAATAGAAGCTTTCCTCTAGATGGTCAAACCAGGTGGTCAAAATCATTCTCACAGCCGGTCAATTTGCCTGGTGCCTGGTCCTAAATGAAACCCCTGGACTATAGAATGAGGAAGGTTCAAGGCTTCTTTACTGTTGAAAGTATTGATTAATAAACAAATGCCTCCAAGAAATTTTATGCCAAATAACGAGAAAACTTCTGTTGAGCGAACGCCATTCTTGTTTCCTTTACAGGCAAGAGTAGCTATCAATGATTTGGAGCTGGCGAAGAAAGACTTTGAACTTGTGCTGCAAATCGAACCAAATAACAGAGAAGTTCAGAAACAACTGAATGTGGTGAATAAGAAAATTAAGCAGCATATGGCCAAGGAAAAGGTTATTTTTGGTGAGTTTTACAAAAGTACACTCAGAACAATTTTAATTTTTTATAACCAGATGTGATTATTGTGAAGTGAAACCAAACTGATGCAAAGACACTCTCTGTGCTGCAAAAACCTCAAACAAAAAATAAAGCCTCAACTTGAAATATAGATATGTAACTGTTGTTTGCTTGTAGTGTAAGCACATGAAAAAAGTAGAAATCGAAATCACAAAAAATGTGCAGAACCATTGGTAAGGACGTGGAAAGCACAAAGATGTAACTGTTAGCAAGAGCAAAATTTGTGCACATTATTTCTTTTCAATTTCTTTTATTATGAAATCAGAAGGGAAGCAAAATCCTATCATGACTTATTTATTTTTGATTTTAAGAATCGGTCTGCATGGTTTTGCTTTGAGCTCTGATTAATTGATTATTCATTTGCTTTTGTTGTGACTGGCCAAGATGTGATCCTTTTGGTTTCATGTCAATCATTAGAAAAATTTTATAACTTATAACTTTTGTGTTAGGTAAGTCATACCTCTTCATAAACAAAGTGTACTTTGGATATTTTTAGGCTTCTTGTTCAGGGTCTCTACCGTGTTTATCAATCACTAGAGTCTTAATTAAGGAGCCAACAGTAATGAACTGTGAAATGGTTAGCTCGCTGGATACTGCTCATGTCCTGAGAGCTTCTAGTTCACCGTCACATGCATTAGCAATTTTAAAGTTTGTTTCGTATTCTCAAGTGGATATGGTCATAGGTGTGGTTGAAAGCTAAATCCCTTCATATCTTGAAAATCTCCCATTTACAATGCACAATACAACTTTGATATCTCCAGTGTGTTATGCCTAAAAAGAAGAAAGACTGGTGACCAGGACGAGCTTGACTCCAGTCCTCTCATGTACTGACCGTTAGGTTAAATATCAAATTATTGCATTCCTCTCTTATTCTACAGCTAACATGTTTGAACGACTTGCACGCCAAGAGGAACGCGAAGGAGCCGTCCAAAAGAGACCGCATGATGTCTTCAAGGAGGCCACGAACGAGGAATTACGTCTCGAAGAACACTCTGAACCTAACAAAACGAAGCAGACGTCAAATCCGGTGACTGACCAAGTGGCGTCATCAACGGAAGTAAACGGTCAAGCAAACAAGGATGTGGATATGGAAGAAGATGAAAAAGGAGGCGTGAAATGCTGACATCAAGCCAAGGACAATGTTATTTAAACACTGGGCCTGGTTTTGAATTCCTTAGAGGGTAATGAATGTAATTCGAGCATTATGAGTCACCCTTGTAGACCAGCGAGGTAACCAGGCGATGTCACGGCATTTTTACAGACCGGGTTATTTTAGGCTTGTTTTCCCGCGAAATAGGTCAGTTCTGGTCTACATGAGCGCGCATCAGTAAGGAATTTTTTTTTTGTTCATTTTGCTTTTCTTTTGAATCTTCCGGTGAAATGATGTCTTCGGTTAAAAATTACGTCCGTGCTTATGATTGTGAGGTTCCTGCCGTGACAGGAATATGGGGTAGTTACACGCTCCTAGTGATGGGCTCCTGACTCACTTCTGGAAACTGGCGTGACAGACTGTCGTGACAAAGTGACGTGACAGACTGTTGCGGCAGACTGTCGTGACTTGTTTGCTTGACAAACGGTAGAACTTTTTACTGGTTTAGAGTTCAATATACGAGAGTCTTCATGTCACGCCTCTGCCAACCTTCTTCGGTATAACTCATTGCTGTGGTAAATTTTGCAATCCAGACGCCGGCATAAAATGCAGTCATATATAGTTTTAGATTTCATCTTATCGCGTCCGTTTTCTTTTGTGAACGAAAAAGTAATCATTAAATTGTACAGGTAACGAATGTGAATAAATATCATTTCAGAACCTCTTCCCTTTGGAATACACTCTTTGTCATTCTGCCGCTGTGCTGTACGTCAGTTGTGTGATTCTCGTCGAGGGACTCTTTCGTTGTCCAACGCCCATGACAACAGAATTTACTTCTTTATCATAGAAAATGTTTTATTTCAAAAATGGCCAGAGAGGACTGGCGCTGGTTTACGGATAAAGAAGAGAGAGAAGACTGTAGAGCCCTGTCCCTGTGGCCTCTCAATTTCTGTTGACGAGGCAGTGTTACGGAACATCTTTAACGAGATCGCTATTTCGGGTTAAACTTGTTTTCAACCACTTTTTCGTTGGCCTGATTCTCAGACGGTCCAGGTCGTTCTCTCTAGAAGAGAGAATCGGGCTCCTTTTTCGTTGGAAGGTAGCCAAGGATCAAAAGAAAAACGAATAAGAGATACTTTCCGCTTTGATGCAGTTAGATACCTAGAATATTTTCAAGTTAGAGGCTTGAGATAAATGGCTAACCTTTGTAACCCGTGTAGCACTGAAAATCAATATATGTAACAGTTATAACTAAGTCGTCACTCAAGGGCGTAAAACGTTTGGTTCAAAGTCGCTAACTGGTTCTAATGTACCTGCTTCACCAGGGCTGCCTCGTCCCCAGTCGCCCGCGCAATAGTAAAAAATGAGGACAAACGCATAAACAAACTGACGTCAATTTGCCTTTTACAATAACAAGACCCCAAAATGGTCAAATGCCGGGAATAAATGAGGGGAAAAGACGGCGTAAACTTGCTGTAAAAAAAGATGAGTGAATTTCACTCAAAATGACGCGACCATTGTCAATAGCTTTCCTCTCTTTGATTGGCTACTTAAAAAAAGTCAATAAAATCTCAGTGGTTAAAAAGTTGACAGTTTGACAGCTGAAAGTTGAACTTGAAAGCTTACATAAATTAGAATTTTATCCGTCTGTACTCTTCAGCCCCGGCCAAACGATCGCAACATTTGAACGCAACATATCGCAACATTGTTGGGCGTAACATGTTGCGCGCGTTTGATCGAAATGCATAAGATGTTGTTTAGAAATCTTCCAACTTTATGGCAGCAACGTAACGCCCCTACGCTCCCACCCACGCCTGAAAGGCATATTTCAAACTCTCAGGTGATCTTCGGGTATTTTGTTGCCACGTTTACCTTGGACAACGGTTTTGTTGCTGGTGTCCAATTACACACCGCGTGGAGAGTGTCGCTGAGAGTGTCAAAACCAGTAAAGTTCGCCTTTCAAGTTTAACTGGCGCCCTTATATACAAACCCCGATCCATCAGATACTCCGACAAACGGTGTTTGAGGATGACACCTTGCGAGTTAACCTCAAATCCCGTTTAACGTAGTCATGTCTAAAACCTGTATTTGTTTATTAATGTGCCGCTACCTATCCTTCGGATCAGAAAGTTATAGTGAAGCCGCAGATGAAAAGAAAGAAGCAAGGCTACGTTATTGTAAGTAAATATTGGTTTCATTTGCGTAACACAATTCCCATATCCCGAAATACGTGAGGTGATTTGACGACAATCAAAGGTAAAAGTATTCCTTGTGGAAATGTTCCCGAAGTGATAATGAAATAGATATTGCTGAATTATATATTTCGATGCTTTTTAAACAAATAAACAACGCTGTTTGAGAAAACAAATAAACAGCGATGTTTATAACAATAGGGGTAAACAAGAAAAAAAAGGCATATGTCGTGGAAAGATCACGAACGATTTTCAACAAAACCTATTAAAAGTATTTTAACTACCAACCAAGCTTCATAGTGTTCTATACGGAGCAATCGCCAGCAGGGTTAATTTACAGGATATTCAAACACGTTTTAAAGGATATTCAAACACGTTTTCTCTGTTCCACGCAACTATTTTCAATGACGATTCTTTTAAATAATATAGATTCTAACGCTACATGATATAGCCACCCTTCTGCCTGTACGCCTTGCGTGCCCGTCATTTCTTAAACTATCCTTTATTAGCTTAGGCAGCTTGTTGTATTCAAAGGATCCATAAACAAAATCAACTAAAAGTTGTCAGCGTCGAGCATGCTCGAAGTGGCCCCGCCCACTGGCATCTTTCACCCGCTGGCGCCCATTACAATACCAGTAAAACTTGCTGGTGGAGTATTCAACACAGTCGACAGGTCATAAGTCATTGAAAATCTGCTCACAGCTTCGAAAACAGCGATAAATAATCGCACGAAAAAATGAACGGCAAAAATACACTGAAAAACGCCTGCCATTAATTTGTTTCCCGTCAGGCAGGCAAGTTCACGTTCAATGGAATCTTTGAATTCTTGGTCCAAAGATTATTTACAGCCATTTGCTCCCTAGTGAGATCTGTGATTGCCTTGGAATACTGTTTGCTCAGGAAGTTTAAAAGAGCAGCCTGTTCCAGGTAAGTTTGTTTTCATTCAACCAACAATGAAGTTGAAATTTCCACCCTTATGAAACAAAAAGTCGAAGAGAAAATGTTTCCTTGCAATGCTGGTCTTTGCGCGTACAAAGAAAAACTCCTAATTGCGATCTAAACAAATCGAAAATTGATTAGAATTTAATTTTAATTTCCAGCTTCTTAACGTTACGTCATTTATAACCCAGTGTAAGTTATCGCAATACGTTACTTCACTCCATCCAAGCTTTCTTATTTTTGTCAGTATACAACAATTCGAGTGTTTTTGAAAGGACTAATTCTCTATAACCTGACAAGATCAGATAAATCAATATTGTATTAGAACATAGCCCTCGGAAATACGTTTAAAGGCCAAATAGCTAAGAAAAATTATGACCCTATACTACGGCTTCTTAGTACATCTAGAGCTGTTCTAGAACACTTCAAAAGGTGAGAATGTTATGTTCAGTTTTACAGTATGTGTAGTTGATAATTTCTTATCGAAAGTAAATGATTTCTGTCATACATGTCTGCTTTCGAGTGAGATGTGATTTAAGTTGATTTAAACAAGTGTGCACTAACACACTTTTAGGGCTTCAAAACAGCCCTAAAATCTTTACAGCTGCCTTAAGGTGAAAGCTCGTAGATAGTTTAGAACTCGGGTTACAGGAAAATGAATAACTTTAGCCGGAAATGCTTTCGGTTGACTCATTTTTTTGATCAAACATTTTAAAGGTGTCGCTCCATTATGAAGCCACAAACGAAGCGCAGTTTCTGCCTGGGAGCATTTCTTGTCATTGTGACGCTGGTGGTGCTGTACTCATACTGTAATGGCAGTTCTGTTTGCTATACTTTTCCTCTTTTCAATGGACTGGAGCGAGACAGTTTGCAGGCTAAGCCGCCGGCGGAAATGGTAGTGACGTCAGTTATTGTGCAGACGAAGCAGCCGTTCGACATGGGAACGATTCAAAAGAATCAAGGTAGGGTTGTAGTTAACATCTACCATCATGTAGGCTCGATTACCAGCCGCTGTTCGGGAAAGGAGCTCACTCTCTTCTCGGGGAATGTAGACTGGACTCACGAGAGCGGCGGAAATCGAGCCTAGCAGGAAGGTCGAGTGCGAAGTAAAAAAACGAAAACGGGAAAAACGAAACAGAAAGAACTGTAGATATGGTTGGCTGCGCGAAAATCTCCAAAGCAGTCCTCTAGTGTTTGTGCGGCAGGTTAGGGCGCCGAAATTGAAATCCGGAGGTCGCGGGTTCAAGTCCCGCTCTGACCATTAAGCTGGAGTTGTTTCTCGGTAGACCATAGTTCAACTCCTCGGTCATGCTTGCAAATAGCCAACTGGTCTATCTGTCTCCCGCCAGTTGGGATTTTAAGCCTTTTGTGTTTACTTTAAATACTTCTTTCTTTCAGTTTAAGTGGCACGTCTGATAACTAGCTGTAGTCAGTGTAGCTTAGTGCATCGACCACCATAAGCATTAAACATTTAACATTTTTTTTCATTAACTTCTCCATTGATCCCCAGTCGTTTTGGGCAAGAACGGATTTTACAACTGTTTATAGCGCTGAAAATATATCATATCGTTAAAATTTCCATAGGAACCAACAAGGAAAAGCCTATGAAACTGAATGAACTGCACACGACAACAGCTCATGAGGTGGAACAGAACAAGGCTACTAATTTCTCTGGAATAGCTGAAAAACTTCATTTTCACCGCAACAGAACTTCGTTTGAAACATATTTGTTTGGTCATGTAGAGGAGAAAGATAACAAAACGCAGCCAAAGGAACCTCAAGAGATCACAAAACACCTCTTACCACCTTCCGACATCGTTGGAAAGGTTGCGGAAGAAATTCTGCGAAAAGCAAATATCTCCGAAGAGGAGGCTAACAGAGAACTTATTCGTGTCGAAAAAGTGGATGGATTTGTCGACAGGGAGAAGGAACACGGGAAAAGATTGAACCAGCACGAGCATTCGTTACTGGAGAAGGTGAAAGAGTCGAGGAGTGCTGGCGGGAAAAGTTCAGAGAGAAAACTGGTGCGAGTTGAAAGAGTTGACTTGACTGATGAAGACGAAGAGGAAGATCGACAACCAGAAAAACCGGTTAAACCAGCTTATGAACGATCGCTGACTCAAGAAGGAGCGGCATCGTCAAGGCTGAAGCCAATGGGAATTAGTGAAGATTCTGAATTAGCACACGCAAGGCGATTTGGGAAAACAGTTGCGGTGAATACGACTTTAAACACTGATGTCTCGGCAGGAAAGCAAGAAGAAAATCGGTTTAATTCAGGGGTAAACAAAACGAAGGAAGCATCTGCAGTTACGCCTCCACCCTTCTTTGCCAAGTTTTTAAATGTCACTGCACAAGAAAGGGAAATGATGGATTTTCTTCACAACTATACTGAGAACAGCAAAGAGCTTCAGGAGAATGTGACCGTGAGAGAAGACAATAAGATGGCGCAAAGATTTGACATGCCATCTGCGCAGGCGCACGCTGATAAAGTCAACGTGCGTGGGAAAAGAAACCATAAGGAAGATGATTTACATAATACACTTCAACCCTTAATTGCCAAGTTACTGAATCTTACAAATAACAAGCAAGCTGGATCTGAAAATTTGGAAGAACCATTCAACTTAAGTAATATTCTTGGGAAGATTACCGAAGGTAATCATGATGTTGTAGCAAAAGACCAGCAAACTTCAGTCCCAGATAGCACCGCGCTATTAGTCAGATTTCTACAACAAGGTAGTCGCTACAGACCGCACATGCCCCAAAATGACACCGCTGTGCACACAGACAAAGATGAGGATCAAATTGCTGATTCAAATAAACTGCAGTCACCTTCAGAAGGGGCTATAAACCTGAAGGAAACACTTCTACAACTCGCAAATCACATAGACTTGTCTAGGCATCATAATGATTCCAAAACAATATCAGACAATCGGGAGAAAAGTGCTGATTTGATGATGTTAAAGCTACTCTTGAACCAAAGTACTTTGCAAGATATCAGCGCTTTTAATTTGAGCCGCGTGCTAAAAGAAATCACGGGAAATTCCCTGCAGAGTAGTTTAAAGGCCCTGGAACCGATTAAAGTAAAGCGAGACGAAGATGGGGATGACCTGGGCTCTACTAGTGCCCAGTCTGACTTGAAGATATTTCGACCTGTTTCGGATAAACTGGGAACTAGCAAATCGGAGTTGGTTTTTAATACAGAGATAAAACCGAGCAACGCGTTGAAGAAAGAAGCAGATCTGGCTTCCGCGAATGAATCGTCAAATACGACGAACCTCCAACACTTGAGCACTAGAAATGATAATGCCTCGTTTTCGAGTGGAAGTGGCTCAGGGGAGTCTGGGGATGGAGAATCTAGGAAGAGGTTTGTCTGATTGGCTTACAAACATAACCTGGTCACATGTCACTTAGCCACAAACAAACAACATATATCATTGACATATTGACACGTTACTGTATAAAGTTCATCGATCCAGATTTCCTACATCACGACTTCATATTGAACGGTGTTTCCCTAACCGTTACGATTACTGAACTTTTCAGGTTGGGCGGGGGAGATTAATAAACGACCTAACCAAAGTTGATTTGATGTTTTCAGGCATTCAAAAGAATTTAGGTACGTTAGTGGTCAACAAGATTTATTTTTAACCATTTTTTATCAAAAAAGATATTAAAAATGGGTATGACCAAGCCTACCTATATAATTGATTGATTTTTCGACACCAGTTTTCAAACATAAAGGAAATTCCGCTCAGAAAAGGCACCACTCCTGTCTGCCTTAGAGGACAACAGAAATCGGCTCACTATGACAGAGATACATTTCAAGAACAATTCTTTAATCTTTTTTCTGTTGACATTGACTTTGAAGAGTGAACGTGTGTCTTCTTCTTAGTTTACTCGTGTTATTGTTTAGCAAGTGTAAAGTTAAGCTAAGTGACAGATTAGCAACGACAAATGACGTGTATGGAACTGTCCGCAAAGTATACGACCAGTTTTCAATCCAATCTCTGGCTGGTCAAGAATTTTTCACCTAATGTACATAAAAAATGGCCGTTGACCGGTCTGTTGTGCAAAGTGAAAAATGCAGGGTCCAACTCGAAATGTTCTTTCTAGAATCAATGGTGTTGGCCTTAGAATGGAAATCCTCCACAATAATGAAGCAACTGACGGTAACTGAACAACAGACCATTAACAGAAAAAAACCGTATTCATTTTGCATGAATATCCCTTGTGATATTTTCAAGCACACGTTCATATATTTTTGTTACAGTAGTGACTCTGAGAAGCGGGAGAATAGAAACGAGACAGCAAAGGAAAAATCGGAGAAGAAACATCAATCGAAACTTGGCAAAAATGGAATTTTGAAGTTTGACACTATCAGGTGCGATGCCTTGGATCCAAAAGTATTACTGTATAATCGTATTTTCAAGACAGGAAGTTCCACTACTGAATCGTTAATTATGAGCTCGAGTTCAAGAATGAATTACGCCTACAAAATAGGTAAGGGGTCGACCTTTGAACGCTAGAAAAGGGAAAGAACATCCTGTTTGTTCCGTTTACCCAGCAGAAGTTCAATAATGGTGGGTGTGGCTTTAACGAGACCTGTAACAAAACTGTGTTCGGTAACTGAAGCGTATAACCGACTAACGCAACACTCGTTTTAAAAATTTCTGCAATTTATCGTACTCACCCAACTCACTCACACAACATTCACTCCCTCACTTACTTGTATGTCCCGTCACACTTTTAAAAACTAAAATAACTTTGTGTATAGCTAATTAACTAATTAACTACTTTGTGATGGAACGCAACTGGTGGTAATCTGTTCTAACGGGAACTTACTTATATTTTAACTTTCTCCAATTAATTTTCCTACCCCCCACCTACTCCCCGATGACACCCCCATTTCCTTGGTGTTGGATATCAGATCAGTACTAGTGCCGGGGTGGGATGGCAGGGGCGAGTATCGCGATATCTTGACAGGAGATGGAGTTAAAACAGCAGCAACGAAGAGTTGACTTCGCTCCTATTTTCGAGTCCAAAACAATTTGTTTATTCCTGATTCTAATAAGAATAATAATTATACAATTAACTATTAAATTGGAAAGGGCCCGTCAGATCTGAGGAAGGAAGTAACATTGGTTCCGCCTTGTGCTATGAACTCTCGCACTAACCATAGTTAACAGAGGGAAATGGTTAAGAAACCGGGAGAAATTCTTTGTTGCAGGTTTTTTTGGCTATTTTGGGGGTTGACCCTTTGCAAAACGGCTGGCAAAATACAAAAGGTGGTTATGTGTTCGTACAACTAACCAATAGACGCATTGCGATTATGTATTTCATGCACAGTACAGGGTCAAGGACCCTCCAACATAAATCTTAGCCTGTTGGTTTGCTTCTTTGATGATTACCAGGCTTTTTAACCATTTTCCTCTATTAACTATGCACTAACTTATAACATTTCTCCCTTATAAGGAACAACAGAGGACTGGTATGACGAAGGCAAGTCCCACCCGTATCCGGGACTTATCATCAGAAAAGCCAACAAAAAACTCATCAAATATCCGCGCATGGCTTTCGTGGCGCACTTTTACTTTAGACGAAATCTCAATTTACCGCAGGCTCACACGTACATAAATCAAGTTAGGCATCCTGTGAGACGACTTGTGTCGCATTATCATTACATGAGGAGTACGAACCGGCCTGCTTATAGAATTAAAGAATTTCGAGCTTCTGGAGAACGCAACGAAACTCTGGAGAAATGTTTTAGATTGCAGCACAAGGGTTGCCAAAATAATGTCATGACAAGATTCTTCTGTGGGAGACATTTTTATTGCCGTAGAGGAAATGGCCGAGCGCTGCACAAAGCCATGAACAACATCAAGCGATTTTACGCTATTGTTGGTCTGCTAGAATATTACGACGTTTATCTTCAACTTCTCAACAAACGTTTACCAAAGTTCTTTCCGAAAATTTCCAACGAAGATATCGGCAGATTTAAGTACAATCCAAAATACAGTTTTGATAACATTTCTAAGGACCTCATTGCAGCTATCACGAGGGCAAACTGGGCTGATGTTAAGCTGTACTCATTTGTTAAGAAGCGCTTTTGGAAGCAAGCTAAGGCCTGCGAAATAAGAACGCTATCAAGTTAGTATCCAGAATTCCACGGGGTGCTAGTTTGCTTACTTGAGCCTTCACCGTTTGTGGTCAGCGAACAACGCACGGTCTGCCAACGAGCATCCGGTTACAAGACAGGACTCGGAAAGGATCAGAAGCGATTCGGGAGCCGACAGTGAAAGGCGGGTAGTATTGGGTTTTGACGGAGGTTTCTCGAACTCTTCTGTCGGTTTGAAGAGCTACATCAGTTCATCCAAACGAGCCCATTAATGAAATAGATTTTATTTTTGTACAAATTAACTTTATTTTCTCGTAAAACGGTAAATGTTAAATAAGAACAGCATCTTTTTGAACCGGATGGAAATTAAACTACGACCAAGCATTTTAAATGTACTGTAAAAAGATAAAATAAAAGATCATTTGCACATTAATCGCATAATGAATTAGTTTCATGCCATACAGCCTACACCTTAGTTTCTATGACCGTGCAAGGCTAATAGAGTCCAGACCTCTCTGAACCTAGAACCCATGAGGACTAGGCTCCACAGTATAGACATCTGGTGAAGAAGACTGGGTGAGAATGAATTGTAAGACATTCCTTCCAGTGCTGAATGATCATTCCTTTATTCTCATTATCCGTCTGTAGACAATGCATTGATCTTCTGACGAGAAATTAAAGGTTGATCAGCAGTCCATGGCAAGGTATAATGTCAGCTTACCAATCCTGTACTCAAGAGTCTAGAAGCACCTAAACGATACCTGGAATCTTCAACCCAGTCCCCGGTGCGCTTTTCCTCTTTTTAATATTTGAACGACGGCTTGAACGGAGAAAAGCTCCCCAGGACGAGATAAGGGGACTCTTGTACCCAGATCACTCGCCTTCATTTGCAAAGTGGGGTATAGGTACAAGATAAATTACAACTACACGAACACCAAACTCATAATAGCAAACAGTCTTTCAGTTTAAATAGTACTTTTGTATATTCTCTATCCTTATAATTTATTCTCTATTCTGACCGGTTGCATTAAGAAAGCAAAACGACAAGAATAAATAAGTTCCCTTAACAATTCACTTCCCAACTAGTAAAATTTGTAAAATTCTCGATTAACGTTCTCACAGTGAGATAAACCGCAAATTTGTCGCACACACAGGTCTTTTTTTACCATCCATCTCACTTTAAAGAGCGCAAAAAGTTTCAAATTCTAGCCCTATGTGAAACCTTGCCAGTTGCGGCAACATATTGCGCGAAGTGAAGTTCTGCCCTCGTTGCCCGTATTTCTTGGCCTCTATCGTGCTCATTACTCATTCAAATACTAAGCTTTCATCCTCATTATACATGTATAGGTTTCACACTGCGAGTGAAATAGTTCTAATCTGGCTTGGCCAGTAAAAACTCATTTACCTCGTCGATAAGCTCTACGTCCCGAATTTCAATAAGGAACGCAAATAAGAAAAGACCAAATATATTTACCGAGCTTTTCTAACTCGACGAATTTCATTTACTCTTTTTTACCCGTGACCTGTTTTTCCCTTTATGACAAAAGTGACTTCAGTTGTTAACCAAACAGATCTTGCAAGTCATTTCTATTGTTCATGGGTGTTTGATTCCTCGGAGCCTGGTACTGATATTGCTGGCTGCTCATTCCACCAATCAACGGCTGTTGTTGCATTGGAAACATCCCGGATGAAGACGTCATCATGCCTCCGCCATATTGCTGCGGAGCCATGGGCCTTGCTCCTCCAAAACCTAAAAAAAACCAGTAACATTAGCACTTGAAAGAACCCTCTATGAAAACAACTTCTGCTCAAATCAGAATGATAATCAATACACTTAAGTTTTGTCTGTACTTCGCTCATAATTGCAACATAAATTTGTAAAACTTTGTTCGTGCAACGTAAGACGTATGAATGTCACTAGGGACTTTAAGCAGCGGGAACGCGGACGGCGACGGGGACGCCGAAACCTGTGAGAAGGCTGGGGAGAGAACGCCGTTGTGGCGGGAATTCACAAACATTAAGCGGCACCGTCGGAAACCGCGGTTTCCGCACTGAAAGCTTATTGACATAATCGATATTCGTCCTCTGTTTATCAAGATGAACTAGGATCACTTTATTGAAAGAAGTTCGCAATCAACTCTTGATAATCCACGATGAAGGTGTGTTAAACGATCACGAACTTCTACTCTTGTACG